AACCCCACAAACAAACAAAAAAAAACAATACTGGGCACTAGGCTAGCAGGTGGCATCGTGGTTAAGGCACTGACTCCTACCTGTCTGACCATGGTTCAAGTCCCAGACCTGGTGACTTGAAACTCATGCCAGGCACATGTGTATGTGTGCTCCAGATCCTGAGAGGAGTATGAGGAGATAGGATTGCAGCATAGCTATCCCCTCTAGGGGATGAGTTCTCACTTTCTCTCTGTCTCTCTCTGTGTCTCTGGTGAGCACACATGCCTTATAGCAAAAATCTCTAATGTGTGTGCGTGTGTGTCTGTATGTATGTATACATACATACATACATATGTATGCTGGGCACATGTGCATGTGTGCCCAAAACCCTGATGGGAAGAAGGAATTGGAAGAAAAAGGGTTATGGCATAACCATGCCCCATTGGCATGTGCCCTCTCTCTGGCAAGTGCATTAGCAATGAATAAAATCTGCATTAAAATATTATTTATCTTGCTTACAAAATATTTTCCTCCTCTTAAATTATGTTTTTAAGGCAAATACCTCACTTGCCTCACGTTATTCCTGCCCTGGGTATGAGGTTGGGCTGGGGAGATGAACTATTCCTCCTAGAGATTTTGATCGAGTCTTCTCAAAAATTTGCTACAGGGTCCAGCAGATGGTGGAGCAGTTATGTCACTGAACTCCCACATGGCTGACTATGGTTCAAGTCCCAGACCAAGCAGCTTTAAATATGCCAGGTGTGTGTGTGTGCATGCTCAAGATCCAGGGAGGAGAGTGGAGGAGAAGGGATTGCAGAGTGGCCATCCCCTCCCCCCCACTTGTGGTGGTTTCTCACTTTCCCCTCACTGTCTTTGTCTCTTTCTTTCTCTCTGGTAAATACACACAAGCTAAGGCAAAAACCTCTCTCTCACACACACACAAAAGAATCTGCTACAATCAATGCACAGTGCTACTGTGGGCACCACCTTCCCAGTACTGGGGCAGGCGAGGGTGGGGCCTCTGGCCAGGGGCACTCATCAATCAGGATAATCCAGAGTGTTGAGGGCCTAGCACACATCTGTCTCTCTTCTCATCTCCCTGAGGGCTTCCAAGGATACCTTGGGGGCAGCACTCGGAACGGGGAGTTAAGTGCCCCCCAGTACTTGGCCAATTGTGATAAATGCCTCCCTCCTGCCCTCTGATAGATTATCAAAGGTCTAATCTACCAGGTATCTCAGACAGTTCCCAATAAGATGAACCTCAGGTGTCCATGAGATCCCTTTAAAGCACCCTTTATTTGGTTCCCCCCTTGAGTCTCTCCCTTCTCTACTTCCATGGATTGCCTTCCAAATAATGGACCACACCTGAATCTTTGTCTCAGGCTCTGCTTTTGGGGAAAGCTAAACTAAGACAGCTCCTGCATTCTCAGTGCTCTTGATCTAGTACAGTGGTCCCCAAACATCTATTCATAGGCAGGTGCTCAGCTGGGTGAATCAGAATCACATGGGAAGCTTTTTAGAGATGCCTGCTCTCCATCCTACTCCTGGATTCAGAAACAACTTCTCCTCCTCCTCCTCCTCCTCCTCCTTCTCTTCCTCTTCTTTCCCCTCCTCCTCCTTCTTCTAAGTTCCTAATGTGCCTCTGGTTTGGTTTCACTAATATTGAGAGGGCTTGGTCAATGGGTGGGTGAATGGGATGGATGGAACAGTGGATAAATGCTTTGAGGAATAGGTCAATGGTTGGATGGACAAGTCAATGAACAGATGGATCATTGATGAAACAAATAATTTATAGATAGATGAATGAGTCAGTAGATGACAAATCTATGGAAGGATCAATGGATAAAATGAAGAAAAGGAGAGAAAAACAGGCCCATGGCAATAATCTTTTAAGAACAACATAAAATATGGTCTGAGAGGTGGGAGATAAGTAAAAAGAGAATGACAGATTTCAAGAAGTAGAAAATGTTAAGAATGTGTTTCCTGGGACCAGCAGATGAGTAATGGTTATGTCATTAGACTTTCATGTATTTGACGGCGGTTTGAGTCCCAGACCTGGTGGCTTAAAGCTCACGCTGGGTGTGTGTGCGTACAAACTCAAAAAGCCAAGGAGAGGACCAGTAGGTGGCGTGGTGGTAAAAGGTGTTGAACTCCCACATGGCCAACCAGAGTTTGAGTCCTGGACCTGGTGGCTTGAAAATCATGCTGGATGTGTGTGCATGTGTGCCCAAGATTCCAGGAAGAGAATGTAGGAGAGAGTATTGCAGTGCGACCATCCCACGTGTGTGGGGTGTGTGTGTGTGGGGGGGGTGAGATTTCTCACTTTCCCTCTTACCATCTGTTTTTCTCTTGCATGTGTGTGTGCATGTATGCACACACACCCTAAAGCAAAAACTTCTTAAAAATAAATAAATAAATAGGGACCAGTAGTAGAAGGTGTAATGGTTACATTGCTGGATGCCATGTAGTTGACTGTGGTTTGAGTCCTGGACCCAGAAGCTTTAAACTCACACCTGGCACATGTGTGTGTGTCCAAAGTCCCAAGAGGAGAAGGGAGAAGGGATTGTGGTGTGGCTATCCCCCCGGGGGGTAATTTCTTGCTGTCTCTGTCTCTCGGCAAGCACACATGCCTTACAGCAAAAATCTCTCTAAAAAATAATAAATAAGTATTTGGGAGGACCAACAGTTAGTGTAATGGCTATGTCACTGGACTCCCATGTAGTCAACTGCAGTTCAAGTCCTGGCCCCGGTGGCTTAAACTCACGCCGGGTGTGGGTGCGTGCATGCTCAAGATCCTGAGAGAAGGGAGGAGAAGAGATTGTGGTGTGGCCATCCCCCTGGGGGGTGATTTCTTGCTTTCTGTCTCTCTGTCTCTCTCTGTCTTTCTGACGAGCACACAAATAAATAAATAAATAAAAATAAGTATTTGGGGAAAATAAAAGGGAAAGGCCAGTCCAATAGTGCAGTGGTTGGGCCCTGTGGATAGGAAGCAGGATCCCTGATGGTCTGCTGAAGTTTAAGTCTTACCCCCAGTGGCTTGAAAAGTATGCCAGGTACACATGCAAACTTGCCCCAAATCATGACAGGATGGAGAAATAGAAGAAAAAGAATTGCAACATGAGCAAGCCTCATTTGGGGAGAGGGGGTGTTACTCTTTCTCTCTCTGGTGAGTACATGTGCCCTCTGGCAATAAAAACAATAATAAAAACGATATAATTTAAGGGTAACTGTCACTACCACCATCACAACCATCATTATCATCAACGACACATAGACAGAATATATAATAGACAGAATATATAACTAGTCAATTTGTTGCTGCTGCTGCTGCTGATGGTTGTGATGGTGGTAGTCACAGTTACACTTAAATTTTAACATTCATGGGACCAGCAGGTAGTGTAATGTTTACATCGCTGGACTCCCATGTAGTCTACTGCAGTTCAAGTCCTGGACCTGGTGGATTAAACTCGTGCAGGGCACATATGCATGTATACCCAAAATCCCAAGGGTAGAATGGAGGAGAAGGGATTATGGTGTGGTCATTCCCCCCTGGGGGGTGATTTAAAGTCTCTCCACAGAACGCACATGCCCTTTAGTAAAAACCTCTCTTAAAAAGAAAATTTAAGGGAATCAGCAGTTAGCGTAATGACTACGTCGCTGGACTCCCACGTAGTCGACTGCAGTTCGCGTCCTGGACCCAGTGGCTTAAAACTCACGCCGGGTGCGTGTGCGTGCGTGCCCAAGATCCCAGGAGGAGAATGGAGAAGGGATTGCAGCGTGACCATCCCCCCTGGGGGGTGATTTCTTGCTTTCTGTCTCTCTGTTTCTCTGTCTGTCTGGCGAGTGCACGCGCCCTATAGAGAAAACCTCTCCAAAAAAAAAGAAAACTTAACATTCATATTCATATACTCGTATGGGTTGCATGTGAGGCCTGGGTTTGGTTTCCAGGACCACCCGAATGCACCAGGTGTGGTTGCACATGCCTTTCGCCCTAACTAATTGGGAGGATGGGGAAGGAGGAGCTCTACAAGCTGACACCGTGTCAAAAATACCTATCTTGCGCTGCTCCATGGTGCAGCAGTAAAGGGTGCGCCTGGCACTCAGAAAGGTCTCCCATCGAACCCAGAACCCTCCATGTTGTTCAACCTCACAGAACATCATGCTTACCCCTGTGCTACCTCTAGCCCCAATAAATATATTTTTAAACTTTATATCTGGTATTATAAAACAATGAAAAGTGCAGAAATCATGAGTGGACGGTTTGATGAATTTTCACAAAGTGAACACTGCATTGCAAACTCCCACTCAAGAGTTGAGATATGGTCGGCATCTCAGTGTTTGAATTTCCTTCACAGCCCGGAGGAAGGTTGGTTTGGCCAACCGCGGTCGCCAGGCGCCAAAGGCAAAGTATCCTCGAGGAGGCGGGGCCGATGGCCCGAGAAGGGGCGTCTGCCGGAAAGTAGGGCGTGGCCAGGCGGGAAGGCGGGGCCCCACCGGTCCGCGCCCAGCTCTCCAGGCCAGGAATGGGCGGAGTCTGAAGGCGTGACGCACTGGGGGAGGGGCTTCCCGACAGACGGTCCCGGATAGAGCGAAGGGGCGTGGCCACTTGTAGTCCACGGAGGCCAAGTTAAGCAATGCCAGGAGCTCGCGACCAGCATGGGCGGGGCCTAGCTTCGTGATAGCGGCCTGTACCATCCGGGGCGAGGCAGGAAGGGGGTTAACCGAGCTTCGCGAGCGGAGAAGGCTTCGAAGCTTTTAGGACCGGAGCCGCACGGCACTACGCCAGGGGCGGGGCCTCGCGGCGTCTGGGCAGACGCTGCGGCGAGGGGCGGGGCCGGGCGCGCGCTCCA